TTGTTGTTGCCCGAAGTATCGAGCTAACTTGTTGCGTTCTGCCTGCAGTTGGAATAAGAGCATAGGGGTGTGATATATATGAACACATGCTTTTCAGGTTGAGTAACTGCAATTTGGTCGAGGAGGTGGCATTGTGGTCCTGAAGGGAGTGATCAAGCTCTACGGAGGGGGTTACTATTGCTATCAGGAGGCTATCAGAGTACAGTTCACTTTGCATTTGGTCGTGGTTCGACCGTCCTCATTGCGATTTTTGCCACCATTGCGAGATCCTCAGTCATATCAAGGAAATCAAGACCCTCTTACGAGAACCTGAGTGCACCCTTCTCAGATCAGAGCGACTTAGCGTTTCTCCTGCTATATTTCTTACTTGTATAGATTTAAGAAAAACACTTTCACTAAGAGAAGTGCTGCCTAAATTTCTACAAATCCAATGAGTTAGTCAATTTTTGTCTTTATAAAATTCAACTTTTTGTATGAGTTATTTATTTGACTTAGTAAAAATATGGAAAACCTACGTTTTTAGGAAAGCGCTGCCCAATTTTTTGCTAAATCAAGAAGTTAGACAAAATTTAACTTTATGAAGTCATCTTAGGTCACCAACCCGTACGTACGGAGGTCCTCGGGTCGACCCATGTACGTACGGGCGTTTGGGGTCCCGTTCGGGGTCCGAACCCGACGGCGTTTGGTCCCCGCCAAAAACTATTTCGGGGCTCCAAAATATTTTTTTTGTTGCTGAACTATTTTTTGTGAGTTCTGTATGATGTTTGGTACATGCCTATAAATTTTGAAGGTATTCTGCCAAGCCGAACAAAAATAAAAAATCGCCAAAGATGGAGGTGTCAAAACTTGCTCGCCCATTCACTATTTTGTTTTTATTCAATTTTTACTTTTTATTTTCTATTTATTGCGGGGCCTAAAAAAATTTATTATTTTTTCAAAATTGTTTAGTGAGTTTTTTATTATGTGAAGTACATATCTATAATTTTTTGCGGCATTTGTCTGTGCAAAAAAAAAAGAAAAATCCTAGGTTGCTAGTTGTCCGATTGCGAGACGTCTCCCCCGGACGTCTCCGGGAGACGGTCAGGGGGGAGTTGTCCGAAAAATCAAATAACTGTTTTTTTGCCAAAAAAAAACGAGGAAAAAAAAAACGGGGGGGGTCTGCGCACCACTAGGGGAGCCCCCCAAAAAAAATTCAGGCTGTTCCGAGCAAAAACGAGAAAAAAAATCACATATGGTGGGGGAAAGTGTGATGGTGGGGTGTTGGGGGGGGGGGATTGCTTGGGGAGTTGAAATGGAGGGCCTGCTGCTGTAGTCAGCAGCTGTTGCACATGCAACGACTGCAGCTGTTTCGTCTGACGCAGCGTGTGGACCATCCGCTCCGGCAGATGCAGCAGCTGCAGTGACAGCAGCATCCACACACACACACTCACACACACGGACATAGAGAAGGGCGTGCTGCTGCAGTCAGCAACTACTGCACATGCAGCGACTGCAGCTGCTTCGTCTGACGCAGCGTATGGACCATCCCCTCCGGCAGATGCAGCAGCTGCAGTGACAGCGGCATCCACACACACACACAGGAGGGTCTACTGCTGCAGTCAGCAATTGCTGCACATGCAGCGACTGCAGCTGCTTCGTCTGACGCAGCGTGTGGACCATCCACTTCGGTAGATGCAGCAACTGCAGTGACAGCGGCATCCACACACACACACACACACACACACACATAAAGATGATGGGAGAAGGAGCGACAGGGGGCAACCTTGATGGCTCAAAAGGCCTCACTTGTTCTACATGCGGATCCCCCTTCCCTTCCTCTCCGCTTTCCCTTTTTGATGTGATTGCTCGCCCGCTTTTGTCTTTTTGCCTTTTTCCTTTCCTTTTTTTTCTTTTCTTTTCCTTTTTTCACCTTGTTTTGCTCCTTTGTAACCCGGACCGGGTTCCTTGAGAGAGAACCCCCAGGCAATGTGGTTGCCAGCCAGACGTTAGACTACGGGAGCAGCTCGCTCTTGGGATATGTCGAATAAGGCACTAGGTTGGGGTAACTAGTAGATGCGCGGTATGGTAGGATGGCTAGTAATTGGTATTGATGTTTACGACCCCGGCTCCCCGCCATTTTTTCTCTCGTTTTTTCCCCCCCTTTTTTTCCCCCCTTTTTTTCTTTTCTTTTTCTCTGTTTTTTCTTTTTTTTTCTTTCCTTTTTTTCGGTTCCTTTCCCCTGCTTTTTCGTTTCCCTTTTGTTCCCCCCCTTTTTTTCTCTTCTCTTTTTTTCTTTTTACTTTTTTTCTTGTGCTTTTTTTTCCTTTCTTTCTTTTTTTATTTTCTCCTTTTTCCGTTTCTCCAGATCCGCTTTCCAGCCGTAGGATAGATGCGTATGAATGGGTGGATGGGGGCAATAACTTGTATCGTAAGGCAGCAATTCTCAGACGGACCCCGCGACTATATCAGAATAAAACCAGTAGGCTCTATTCATCAAAGCACCATACGGGTAATGGTTCTGACGACAGAACAAGGCGCCCGGGGTCGCAGTCGCGAAGGGATTGGGTGAGGTGACAAACGACATGGATTTTTTCGCTGATTGGGACCTGGAGGAGGAGAAGCACGAAGTGGAGGAAGTGGTAACGTCCCTGGCGGTTGACACCTTCCCGGTTTTGCTCTCGTAACCCGACACCTGAGTACTCCGAGGCCAAGCGACATGCATACCGACGCTACCTGCCCTGCTGAACGTGCTTCGCCCTGCCTATCCCCCTCCGCACCAGCGCGAAACGCCGCGTCCGCCCTCCTCCTTTTCCTCGCCCTTCTTCCCAACCTCGCCATAGCCGGCGCAATGCTGGCCGCATGTCTATCCGAGGGAATCTTCCTCCGCTTATCGGCTAGGCGCTTTGCTCTATTGATCGGTTGCACGATCTGCTTCGCAACCATCTTTCTTGCCAGCTGTTGCTGCCTCTTCTTTGTGCTAGGCGTCGGGGGTGGGCGTGGTTGTTAGCTAAGACGTAGAGTACTGCGAGGAGCGGCGCGATGAAGCATAGGACTATGACGGAGGCTTCGGCACACGCCTTTTTGGCCTTCCTTTCGTTTTTATCCTTTCTTTCCTTCCTCTACTTCATCTACTCCCTCCCCCAACCCCTCCCACATGCCCCTTCCCTCCCCCTCCTGCATGCCCCGTCCCTCGTCCCTCGATCCCGCAACCCCCCATCATCCCTATCTCAATGCACCCCCATCCATAACCTGACCACTACCGCCCCTCCGCCTTCCAGAGATCCTAAAAGATGTCCCCCCCTCTGATGACGCCCCACGTGGCATGGGGCATAAAAGCGCTTTAGGGAGCTGCCACGCCCTTCCCGCGATTCGGCGAGATGATCCGCGCAGCTGCAGGAATGCGTTGGATCTGGAGGAGAGAGCTGAAGCGGAATATCCCCTTCCCCCCTCCCCCTTCCTCCCTCCCCTCTTCCCTCCCCCTTCCTCCCTCCCCTCTTCCCTCCTTCCTTCGTTCCCCTTCCCTCCCCCTTCCCCTCTCCCCCCCTCTTCCTCCTCCCCCGATCTTCCCTTCTATCCCTTTGGAACCTTGCAACTGTTCGATAGTAGAGGCGCGAGGTGGGCGATGTAATCTGTAATTGTTTCTGATGGAGATAAGGGCCCCTTTTTTCGAAGCTTTTTCGAAGCATTTTCGAATTTTTTTATGAATGAATGGACGACGTAATCTGTTCGATAGAAAGGGCCCCTGTTCGATCGTAGAGGCGCGAGGTGGGCGACGCAATCTGTTCGAAGCTTTTTCGATTTTTTTTATGAATGAATGGACCGATCTTCTGAAATATTGCTTTTCATCTAGGTGTTTGGTTTTTATTGGTTGCTTTTTCCACCCTGTCTATTTTTTCCCCTCTCACTATTGCAAATTCCATTCAATAATTTTCCGTTTGTGGATTTCCGCTTGACATCTTGTCGTTGGGATTTCGAGGTTAATCAAAAGAATGGTATATGAGTGTTGCAACCCATTGTTATATGTCACCAATGGTTGTTCTGTCAACGAAATTGTCATCCCTCCCTTTTTCGATTTTTTTTCGAATTTTTTTCAGACTTTTTTTGATTTTTTTTCAAAGTTTTTTTCGAATGTTTATCTCTCTCTTTGAATGGATGGTTCGATCGTTGCCCCCTTGCGATACGGAGCACCCCTACCCCCCTTCGCTTCAATTTGCCACTGGCGCTGGTCTGGCCGAACTTCACCCGATAAACGGCCTCGTGGTTACCCTCACCACAAGATGGACATACCAAATGGTTTTACCTCGCCACGTTGAAATATCGCCTCCCGCGTCTTGCTTTGTGCTCACGGTGTGCCGACGTTTTGAGTCGGAGCAGCACGGGCATGACGTGTCGTGCTCGTGCGAAGTGCATGTGATGTGCACATGCTAAAACACTCATGAGGACGTGTTTCCTCCATCGCTGTCGGGGGGTGTCCCCCCCGTCCGCACCGTGAAGCGTTTTTGCGTTCCTTATACTCTCCCGCGTGGAAACGAGGTGATGATTGTGGCTATGGGGTACGCCAAGGACGTCCGACGTTGATGAGCGAATGACTGGACGATATCGAAAAAGGAGACAACTGGGTATTGCGCGGTTTATGGTGAGACGTGTTGTGAAACTGGGGACAGATGGTGGGAACCTGCTTTGACATTTCTCTATTGTCCGCTTGTGTGTGGTTCTCCCCTTCCCTCCCCCCCTTCCCCCCTCTCCCCCCCTTTCCCTCGTGATCCTTACTTTTTTCTCCCCTGATGACCTCGCCTACCTGCCCCCTGATCGTTCTCCCCAATTCCGCTCTCTTCCTTGAACCTCCCTCTTGCCCCTTTCTGCTCCTCTATTCCCCTTTTTTATATGCCCCCCTGTTTTCCTGAATACAATAGCCGCAGAGGCCTCCCAAGGAGTCCTTCCCCGGTGGATGGTGGAACGAGCCGACGCATCGTTTTCCATGGCTCGGGGATTGTGCCTAGCCTGCAAAACCTACGCAGGCCCTGATGACCTGTGTCAACCCTGGGGTCATGGATGCGATAAGAGATGCCTGGGACACCGGACGCTTCCCCCATTTTTTTGAGATGCTTTGTTTCGGGGATCTTGCCATTCTCGCAGGAGCCTGGGAGCGTAGCAGGGAGGAATTCGATGATGGATTGAGGGTTTTATGTGAACGACTCGAGCTGAGAAAACAGGGGTATACCAGGGAATGTAGGGAGTTAGGGGGTAGGTCCGCTAAGGTGGAACGGATCTTTCTTAGGAAATGGGGCGTCGATGATTCGCACTTGGAAGGGCGGATCCCCGAAACACAAGGGCAGGCATCACCTACCACGGGAGATGCTCGGATTACGAAATGCGACGATCTTGCGATCGAAGCTGAGGAGAGGGAGGAGATGGAGCGAGCGATTGCCGCCATCGCCAACACCATCAGGGACTCCCCCCTCACGGGCGGTCGTACGGATGATAGCGCCTCGGAACGGGACAGATACACAGCTTTCGACCCCCTAGCATCTGCGTATTGGGTAGAACACACGTCCACCGGATTCCGACACGCGATCTGGAGGATGGAGAACTTTAACCACGTCGCACCAATCTCCATCAGGGCACTTCAGTTCCTAGGCAACATCACATACGCACAGGTCAAGGATTGCAGGACTCAGGTACTGAAAGGTAAGCTGAAGTTCTCAGGGAGAGTCCCCCCACTGGATCCCCAGGACCTGAAGTTCCTGCCCATGCGTGCCTTCGACCCGGACAAATGTGGCGGGACAAGCTCTGGGATGTGGCAAAAGGCGATTAGGCAGCAGGATAGATTGGATTTGAGGAACATGAGAAAAATCTGGAGTGTGGGTAGGCCCTATCTCAAATGCAAATGCAAGAAGGAGAAAAACAAGGACTGTGGGGATACCCCTCTATGGTTCGACCATGCCCTTTGGTTCCTACTCGCGCACTCATACGTACTGTTCCCGGACATGTCTTCAATTAAAATCAGAACTTCGATGCTGATTCACTACCTCAGAACCACGTGGAGAGAGGGTATACTCGTTGCCATCGCCTTTCACTTTATCAGGGATCTAATGATGGGCTATATCAGAGAACTGGAGAAGGACGCTACACTCGACATGGAAGGACTGCTAAAAGACGACCGACTCTGGAATTACCCGATCCCCGCCATGCTCGCGCGGATCATGCTCCCCACACGCATCCCCGAGAAACCTACGAGATTCCCGCTCAGCTCTCCACGTGTGATGGCTCGGAAGAGAAACGCGGGCGTACAAATCCCGGGCCTGACCACACTTAACTTTTGTAGGGTGACACCCATACCCGGCGGTTCCCCGCCACCTCCTCCTCCTCCTCCTCCTCCTTCTTCCTCCTCCTCCACTCCCCCTCCCCC